TCAGATGGCGTAACAGTAGCCGAAGCTACCCGATCACCATCTTTGGAACCATCTGTATAAATTGGAGCATAATCACCATATTTAGACCTTAACTCTCTGAAGAGAGACTGAAACACTGCGGAACTAGTATCTTTCTTTTTATTTGTTGTAAGATCGAGATTAATCTTGGGAGGAGATATAGACCACGGTGGTGTCTCAAAGAAAGGGGTATTCGCAATACTGTCTTGACTGATACCAGCCTGAGACAAAAGGGGTTGAATGCGAATACCGAATGATGGAATAACATTAGTCTTAAGTAAATATATGTGTTCATGATAGGGTCTAAATATGGTGTTAAATGAAATATGATGGGGCAGAGATGCAATTTTTGTAGCATACTGCAGTGCAAGTTTATCACGTCTGTCGTGCAATGAGGGCTTGTGCGCCTCGACGTATAAACTCTGCACTGGAGATGTTCGAAATGCTCCTAAACTGATTCAAAGTCCTTGGTTGTGTATGGTGTCGAGCTCTTTGAGATAAGACTCGCGGGCAGACCCATACACAATACACCCATAATCGAGTTTAGATCTTATCAGTGCTCGATATAATCTGAGCAAGACCTTACGGTCTGCTCCCCAGTCAGTGTTTGATAAGACTCTCAATATGTTGAGGGCTTTCAGACATTTCTTCTTGAGTGTTTTTATATGAGGGATAAATGATAATTTCTTATCAAATATCAAACCCAAGAATTTCGTTTCATCTACAACTGGAATGGGACTACCATCCAGTGTAAGATCCGGATCAGGATGTAAACCTCTTCTTTGACAGAAATGCATGCACACAGTCTTGGATTTCGAAAAACGAAATCCATTGTCAGTTGCCCATCGTTGAATAGAATTCAAGCAAAGCTGCAACTGACGTTCGATTGTCTGCATGCTTGTCGATCCGTAACACATCTGAAAGTCATCAACATAAAGAGAGCCGTCGACCCCGCGTTTAAGGCACGTCGGTATCGTATTTATTTTGATAGAAAAAAGTGTGGAAGACAATATACTTCCCTGAGGGACTCCCATTTCCTGGGGAAATGGGTCAGAGAATATTGATCCCAAACGTACCTTAAACGACCTATCTTCTAAGAAGTTTTTAATGAAGATAGGTAAGCGACCCCGCAGACCGAGGTTATGCAGGTCGCGCATGATACCATATTTCCATGTGGTATCATAAGCTTTCTCCAGATCGAAAAATATAGCAACTAAATGTTGCTTCTGGATGAAAGCATCCCTGACAAACGTTTCAAATCTAACGAGATGATCAAGAGTGCTCCTTTGGGACCGAAATCCACATTGGAGGTCTGTAATGAGGTTGTTGGACTCAAGGTACCAAACAAGCCTTCGATTGATCAATCTCTCCATGGTTTTGCAAATGCAGCTAGTTAAAGCGATCGGGCGATAATTGGTAGGATTCGTAGGATCTTTACCCGGTTTAGGGATGCCACGAAGGCGGGAAATTTCCATCAACCCAAATCCGGTTATAAAGATCTAGTAATATTAAGAGTGTTGGTAAAGGTAAATGTTTTAAAATCTGGTAGTGAATTTCATCTGGGCCAGTTGCAGTATCCCGAGCTCGTTTAAGAGAATCACGGAGTTCAGCAATAGAAAACTTGTCATTATAACATTCATCATTACGGGACTTGAAGTTAAGTCGCCTTTTCTCCTGTTGATGTTTAATACCCCGAAAGGCATCCGAGGAGAAATTGGATGATGAATTGAATGAGAAAGTACTGGCCAGAGAATTAGCAATATCAGGAAATGTTGTTAGGGTAGTATTATCAACATTTAGATGGTTAACTGATAATGCACTACTTTTATCTTTAATCCTGCGAATCCTATCCCATACAGATTTGGAAGTGGTACGGGAATTGATCCTTGAGACATAAGCTTGCCATGAAGACTTCTTTGCTTGGCGTATGGTTCTACGAGCCTTCGCCCGGACCATTTGGTATGCTGCAATATTCTCCATGGAAGGGTGATTCTCAAGGCGCCTTAAAATCCGATCACGCTCTTTAAGAGCGGATTTGCAATCGTTATTATACCATGGTTTATTGAAACGTTTGGGCTCAGTCGTGGTCTTCGGAATCGCCTGCTCGGCTACATCCTGAAGAATTGAAGTGAATAAGGCCATGGGCTCATCTGCATCTTCTAACTCCTTTGCGTCAAAAGAGAAGAGACACAAAGATTCAAAAAAAACTTTATGTAACTTCCACCTCTGCGGCCTTTCAACCGGAGAGGGTCCATTATTATCTATCAAGATGGGAAAATGGTCACTACCACAGAGATCTTCATTCACTCTCCATGTAAAATCCTGAAACAGGACCGGAGAGCAAATGGTTAGATCAAGAGAAGAAAAGGAAGCTGTGGCAGGATGTAGATAAGTAGGCGAGTCATCATTTAATAAACACAAATTATTAATATTAATAAAGTCCGCTATTTGTTTACCTCTGTTATTATCACCTGGACTACCCCAGAGTGAATGATGACCATTGAAATCTCCCGTAATTTTAAACGGGAGGGGAAGTTGTGCGACAAGGTCATCAAGATCTCTGGGGTTCAGATGTAAACTAGGTGGTAAATATACAGAGCAGAGTGTGATAGGAATATGTAGAGTCACCCTCACTGCAACTGCCTGTAAAGGCGAGTTGAGGGCGACTTTACCCTGCGGAATATTTCCATTAAGGAAAATGGAAACACCACCGTGTGCTCTACCATCATTATTAGCAAAATAATGATAGGCAACAAAATGTCTGAGTGTTAAGACATCAGAATTCTTTAAAAAAGTTTCTTGTAAACAAATAGCTAAGGGATTAAATTTTTGAATTGAGATTTGGCTTAAGACCACGACAATTCAATTGAATTATGGAATTTGCCATTTTCAGGGAGGTTTAACAGGACTTCTATGATGTTGTTTGGGGTCATGTACTTCAACAACAACATCCATAAGATTGTCCTGTATCCCGAACCTGTTATATGTTCCGACAGGATCCTCGTCACCCTTCCTACTACGAAAGGTATTTAATTTTCGAGGAACGTCTTTATCAGAACGTTCCGTATTTTTGTTGTTTTTTAGTGGATTTCCACCAATTGGCTGAGGAGTGGGGGGCACAATCTCCTCTATCACAGCCCGCCCAGGCTTACTAACAGCCTGGGAGCTGGGAATCTTAATATTAGGTTTAGGTGGAACCGGAAGTTTTTGTTGCGACGAGGAATCCTCTGTCTCAGCTGGAAATTCAGCAGGCGTTTGGCAAGCAATAGAAGCAGTTTTTGGCTTGACTGCATTTGCAAAAGACATTGCAAATGTTGGGGTTGCAGCCTCAACCAGCTTCCTTGCTTCCGGGTATGGTATATCTTTTTCTGTTTTCACCTGCTGAACTTGTTTTTCTTTCTTCCATATTGGACACTCTCTAGAATAGGCAAAATGAGGCCCTTTGCAGTTAATGCAGTGGTGGTCGAGCTGACAAGAGGTACTTTCGTGACCATCTTGTCCACATCGAGCACACACAGCTTTCCCCTTACACACGTTTTTACTGTGTCCAAAGCGTTGACAATGAAAGCAACGCAATGGATTTGGGATGTAAGGGGTAACTGGTATGGCAAGAAAACCAGCTTTGATCATCCTAGGAAGATCTGGTTTATCAAAGGTCAGGACAGGTGTTTGTTTGAATAATAATACCATTACGTCTGATAGAAATACGTTTGACGTAGGTAACACCCTGTGAGGCGAGATTTTCAAGCATCTCTTCCTCACAGCTGCCTTCTAAATCCTGAGACCGTACAACACCTCTTGAAGAATTAAGAGAGTTATGCGGTGCTACTTTGATAGGAATGTTGGCTAAAGTTTTTGATTTTAATAATGATGTAGCATGTGATTCTTTAGCACATTCCACTAACAAAGTACCATTTCTCATTTTCTTGACGCTTTTGGGCTCGCCAGCTAAGCCAGCAGGACCTTTAGCGATCAAAAAAGATGATGTTTTACTAAGATTTATATCGTTAGTACTTTGTATGACCAGAAATCTAGGCCAGGTTCGGGAAGTTTTTATTGGTAATGGTTCTATATCCTCGGTCGACATACGTTTTGTAGTACGAGTCTTCTTTGTTTGAGAAGCCATTTGATTGATTGAAAAGATTCATCCTTGCCTGCTCTCCAACCATCGAAGGGTTGCAATATCCATGCAGGCTACTGCGCGGATATCCAGCGCATGCGCCCTACGAGGACAGACAGGGATATACCTAGACAAAGTAAAGAATAAATATTTTTACTCTACCTAGTTGACCCAAGCCGCTGCTTTAGAGTAGGCACGTAGGACACAAAGGTAGAACTGCAACAAATATATTACAGAATAGTGGAAAAGATGCGCCTACTCGTCAGCTGAACACGACCAAAGCCGATTGATCAGAGTGGGCCACTCTGACCTCCTGTCTAGGTGAATTGTGGGCCAAAGCAATGTGTTGCAGAGAAAAGGCTCGCAAACCAAATCGCCACTCAATTACCAGGATTCCACTCTCCACCGACACTGGCCGCAACGCACGGCAAACACGTTGCCCCATTACAGGGATCCTTTTAGTCGCCTTTTACGACACGCAGGACATACGAAGGGTATATTCTTATCACCCCCTACACCTCCGGGGGGGGGGGGCAAACTGAAATAGATCGATACGAAAATGCATAGGATATAAATATGAAACAAGCTATCAAGACACCGAATGTCAAAATCGGGTCAAACATTACAAATCAGTATGATATTCAGCCTCTTGCTGGGGTGTTTTCAAGCAGTAGTTCACACAAAAAATGAACTTTATTTCAACGTCCACCTTCCGCCTGTAGTAAAATTCGAATAATAAATCCAAGCAGGGTTCTGATTGTCATTTTCGGTTGTCGGAAATCTCTTACCCATCACGATAAACGGAATCTTAAGAAAATCTTTAAATGTCTATTATATCTGTCAATAAAATTGAAATACTTACGGAGTCTTTCATTCCTCCTAATGAGAGGACCTAGCATATTATGAAGGCGCATACCCCGTACCCGTTGGGATACTCAAGACTTTCTTGGGGTAACTAGGAGGTTCCGGGTTCGATTCTGTTTCTGGCCAGTAAAATGTCTACCACACTAATCACACACAAGATATGAAATTTTAAAAAGGCGAAATATATTGACCATAAAGAACAGCTCTGTATCCGGTTTGATTGTGAAATGAATTGTTGACGAGGGTGATAAATACAGAGATTATAGTTAAACGGATCCATAGATAAATAAAAACTAAATGATATTTATCTTTCGAATGTTATCAAAATGTCAATTTATTGCATCCTAAGTATATTGCAAAATAAATTGTATATCGGTGTTAACTGTTGGTTAAAAATCTTCTGGCTGTGTTCTTTCACAAGTTGTCGGATAATTGCATAATTAATATGTACATTATTAGTGTTCACGAGTCCTATAAATATGTCTGTCCTATTGATGATACATAGATTGTAAATTACAGTTGGTTATCATGGCAGTTTTACCCTTAGTTCTTGTATTTTGTTTCACTGAACTTGTATCCAGTAAGTACTATTAGCATTTTTAATCTACTGTTTCTATCACATGGACAAAAAGTCACAACAGACACTCGATTCTGATTGGTCAAAACGTGTGATCGAATGGACAGTAAACTCCCTCTATTTGAGCAAGGCGAATAACTGCATATATAAATATTACAGTATGCTTTTTTTTGTTGTTGTGCTCACTGATCTTCATCAACCCAAATCTTTATTGACAAATATCTTCAAGAAATTCTGCACAAATGACCATCACGCCATAATCTTATAATCAAACATAACCCTGAAAAACACACAACAGTAGAAAATCAGTCATTAATTAATTAAAACCGTTTTCAGGTATCCTAGGCACTGTGAACAATTTTGTTTTCTTTTTGGAGGCAAGCTTTAAAGTGGATTTTTTTTTAATATCACGGTTTGGTCAAATTCTGACTAAAATGATCTACCTTATAATAAGTCACTAGTCGCAAGAAATCGCTTGGAAATATAATATAGGAGGCGAAAATAGCAGCTGAAATAAGCCAATAAACGGGAATTATGCCAAACTTGACATTGCTTGACAACAGGTCAGAACGGTATACGTAGCAACCGCTACAGTCCTAGGCATCACATATCATATAGGCCTGCAGCCAACATTTCTAGCGTACCACTGACAGGGTTAAACCGCACCGGGGTTGCCTTGTACAAGTACATATCTAATCTGTGTAAGTGTAGTAAATGTGAAAATGAAACAAAAAGACTGTTGAAGAAACCGAATTTGATACGATATCACCCATGGTGGAAGTGGACGTAAAACTCTAGGATCGAACGAACGAACCGAATTTGATGTTTATACATGTTGTGACAGCGAGGATGATAACGACTCACTTTGATGAGATTTAAAGTGAAGAGTAACTGCGTAATTTTGATTTCCAATGATTGTTTTACTTCTGTCAATAAATAATTAGTTTTTGTCTTATATCTATATCTGTTAGCAAATTACATAATTATAGATACGGTTTCAGTTTAAATGTTTGTAATTTGGCCTTAAATATGTGAACTAGAGGTTTACAGCTACCTGTAATAGTAAAACTAATGTAGGGTCTAATTAAAAGGATATGTGGGTGTGGGTTTATATTTTAATGGAAAAAATCGCGTGGTTTCAATGCGATATACAAAACTATATACGGACAAATTCTGGTCTCTATTATTTCATATCAATCATAACCATAGGCCTATTGCTCAACAAATGTCAAACGTATGTCCTTGCTCATTAGACTAGGAGCTCCGCCCATAATTTCTAGTTAAACACCCGCTCACCAACCCTTTCAGGCCCCTGGACCCCATTATGGCCATTAACGATATAAATATTGGGCTTGTGTGCTCACACATGGTATTGTGCCTCATATAGCATCAGCAGTCACCACGCACCTGAAATACTATCATTGCGGACAGTTGACAGAAGGGAGATAACTCTCTATTACCGTTAATGGGATTTCCAAAATTCTGTATGTTCCCTTGTCCATTATGTTTTCTGCATTTGGGTTTAAACCACATTCTTTGTCGAGGATGAAGGCATTGGGTGATTTCCTGAATATTTGATTTTATGTCAACTTCACAATTGTTAGTATAAATATAGCATTTACTTGCAATTATCACAATTTTCATCTGGACCTAAAACGAGTTATGGTGTTATAAGCTTTCCAAAAATGTATAGTCTGTTTAGTAGGGGGAGTAGTTTGTAGCGGAATTGTGTTTCTAAGCAAGCTAGAAATTTTGGCGCAGGCCTAATTGTTTTATAGGGTATTTTTGGGGATATAAGCGCGAACTGCTCTTGTCTGAACAAGAACTGACAACATAAATGTGTTGACAGCCTGCAAATAAAATAAAAAGGGTATAAACCCCCAGAGATTAACACTTCCTGTTTCCTGTCTTGTCCATTTAACCATGGTTGAATTATCCATTCGACAATACCCCCCCCCCCCTCTAAATTCGAAACAGGAAGTGTTTATTTCTAATCCAGATCTAAACAAATATGTCCGAATCTCAAGCAATATCACAAAATGGGCGATTGATAAAACCCAATCTGCTGTATGACCATTTATTGGTCACTTTAAGTTGGTCCTAGTAAAGGCTAGATCGAGTATCAACAGATTCGGTATTATTAATGACATTTTAGACCGTTGAAAGTGAACTTTAAGATATACTTTAAACTAAACCCCTTTCTATTACAGGTGCAAGCCATCATACAGGATTGTCATTTCAGCAAGGTATTTCCGTTTATTATTTTATCCATCATGGTCATTATCCCTCAATTTACCGTTCATCGTTGTTTTTATATAGACATACATATAGCGCTACATCAGTTTGTTTTTGATGAACTTAATTATGAAACAAACCAACCCGTGGCTGTAATCATTGTTTCTCAGACGTTGAGGACTAGGGGCCTGATAAGGAGTGTCACCTAGTGGTTCGGGTGGGGTGAAAAATAACGAGGTTCCGTGTACACCTTGGCGTACACGTAAAAAAAAATCAATGACAGATGGAATTGGAATGCCTGCATGACGTAAGCCCGCCTTCATTAGCTGGGTTGGGGCAGAAAAATAGAACGTTAAACTCCGAGACCAGTACCTCTTTGAAGGGACGTGGTATATAGTATTGTTGTGTCCTGTTATGGTTGGTGGTTGTTGAAGTTTGAATTAGAATGAAATCGACGATTAAAGGAGAGAGAGGGGGAGAGAGAGTTTAACGTCCACTCGACATAAACTATGTCATTTCGGGACTAACGTATGGTGAAACAATTATAGTTCATAGTATTGCATATATAATATTATACATACAAAACCACCTAGCTATAGTAATAAAATATTTGGGAAAAAAAAGTGATGCATTTTCCATGGCGCTCAGATATATGAGAAAGACGATGGGGCGCTCCTCCTCGTGGTCTGGTGGGTTGGATGGTTAAATGGTAAAACGCGTGACCTAACTAAACTTAGAGTCAAAGTGGCGTGGTTTCGATTCCCCAGTAGCCATCCTCGTGGGTTTTCTCCGGGTGCTCGGGTTTTCTCCCACTACTGCAAGACCCCTACCCGCATTCGAATAATCGAATTATTGTAATAAAATTGAGCCACATGTTAGTTCGAAATGACCTAGTTTGTGTCGAGTCCATGGATGTTAAACCCCATTTCTATATCTCTCTCATTTGCGAATAATAATTTGCAAATGATAAGGGCCTAGCGACGCGCGCAACTTTGAACTTCATGTCCGTTCACAATTTATTTTCCAGGCGGCTCATATCATCTTATAATACACTTTAAAAATCAAATACAAAAGTTCATCTATTGTCAACTGTTTGTAAACTGGTGCTATTTTATGGCGTGAGTTGGGTGTGGGTATATATATTTATTCAAGCGTATCAATATTTATCGGTCTCCGAGTGCTTCTAAGAAACTTGAGCCAGATTGGCCGAGTCTATACGAGACTAGACCCAGTTAGTCCAGACATGTTTGGCGACCATCACGCGCATGTTCAACTCAAACCGGTTGCAGTTTCAGTCTTAACCTAAATAAAGGTCAACATTTTCTGGAACACACTTGTGTGTCAAAGCATTAAATTAAACAGGTTTAAAATGTATGAAGGATTTAAACAAATATATTAATAGACTTGGTGGATAGATGACAACAATCTTCACAATATTATATAAAAAGCTGATCAAAATAAGCAATCAAGGTAAGATATGGGGACCGAATGGGCTTATTAAACGATCATAGGTACAAAGATCGGATCGATTCACAGAATTCAAGTAGTCACATGCCATTTACTTAATTTTATACAATACGAACAACGTAATATTAATTAAGTTAAAAGTATGCCGAATTGTTCAGTTCGGTAAACAATAGCTTGTATAAATACCGATGGCACTAGCCCAAAAGTATTACTCAATCTCGTAGTCATAATGATGACTATGTGACATTTTTGGCTGTATTAATATTATATTATGATATAGGCCTATTGGCATTCTCAATGTTTTCCACAGTACCAATACCTGATAATATCATGATTTTGACTTTGTAAACATTGTTGTTATGAAATATATGTCACATGTCTGAAGGCTTTAAAGTAAGTTAGGTCTATTTAGAAATTGTTATATTTTTTTTATGAGTACAGTTATACAGTGAATGAAGACATCAAATATCTGATTAGAATAGGCTTACATGATGATCTCCGGTTGTAGAAAGTGTGATGCCCAGTTTGGGAGGCTTGAAGTTACAGGATATGAATACATTGCAGAATATGAATAACTTTATCTACTGTCTGAACCTTGCTATTTTATAAACAGATTTCTTCGATTATGAACAAACTATTTAACTTTGGTTATTATAAACTTACCTGTGTGTTTGAAATCATCTCTGGTTAAATAAAATTCATTGCACAATTAAATATCCCAACGAATAAAAAAGTTCTCTCTTGAAAAATTTGACGTGTTTACTTATATTTTCTGCAAAGTCGAAGACAACATGGCTTTCGTCACGTGTTGGACGAAACCATTACAGTTGTTGTGGGGGTGTTTAGTTTTGACAGTGAGTTTGACAACCACGTGTTGCAATGAAAACAAACCGCGATCGTTTGAGTTTGGGCAACGAAAAATTTTAACTAAAGGCAATTACATAGAAGATTTATATTGAAACCATTGATGGCCAGTCTACCAAATTTCATTCACAATGAAAATATCAAGGATAGTCGTAAAAATAAAGTCATATTTAAACTAAACCTTCCCTATCTTCTTTATACATGTTTTATAAATAATTTAAGAAACAACATGAAGCTCACGACCGAAGTTTCCGAGTGCATCGTTAACTTAATATAATTCTTTCCAGGAAATGATAACCGTTTCAGCAACATATACAATAGTGTTGAAAATCGGATCGTGATTTGTGATCCGAATACTTTTGTTTGCTATCCGAATACTATTCAGATAATTCGGAAACGTGAAATTCTTGAACAAAATCACATCAAAAGTTCATATACTCATAATTTCTTACTTATTTCAATGTTTATATGAGTGTCTGTGTATGCCGAGTATGGAATCTTACTTTCGATTTGCAAATTGTTTGAGCCGCGAAGAAAAAAACGTGCCTACCTTTAGCTGCAATTATTAAGACTATCCATGATATCCCAAAAAATCAATGAGGTGAATAAATTTGTGTATAACTACTCCTGTAATCCGTGGCCCTCCCACTTATCATTTTTGCTCAATCAACACAAATGAAAAAAGTAAAATAAAAACATCTAACATTTATTCCGCCAAGGTCGTTTGCCTCATTCTAATAATCTACTGCTGTTGAACCAGTCAGTAAGTGAGAATATACGTGACCTAGGTCGTTATGAATAAATTTCATTGCCGGAAGTCTAAACACAGTGTTAACTTGTATCCCGTAAACCCAAAAAGTAGCTTCTATGTAGCGTAAACCAGCGCAAGGAATGAATGAATATTTTTGTTATTTAGACTACTGTTTTCGTTGCACTGCATTAATATTTTTATTAGTTACTATTGCTAAATAATACGCGTGATATTAACATTTATGCTCAAAGCTGCCTACCTGATCAATAGCATTGGGGAAAATTTACTGAATGTCAGAAGACTGTTACGGATAGTAAAATGATTCGGATAACCCTTATTTTGTATGCGTTAATGGATATCCGAATAGTAGTTTCAACACTAATATACAAGCGTGTTGCGGCAGCCACGAAGGTGCCAATTCTGTGGGTGAATAATGCCAAAAAACCTATAATCAAATAATTAAAACAAATTATATTATTTCAAAAGAAAATGTATAAACTTTGCAGGAATTTTACTAGAATGTAGAAAGATGGTAATAAAATAAAGAGATATGGGCCGAACCCCCAAACTCAATACCAAGCCGAGGCTAATACCACGAATTGTCGTAAATGTACCGTGAAACGTTTCGTTGCAGCATGCTGTCACCTCTTTATACGAAATGATATCTCCCGAAGAGTGACGTTGTTAGTTAGTTGTATTTTACGTTCGCTTCCACGGAGGTGATATCGCAGACAAGAAGAGTGACGTAACCGGCTTCCATTTTTGTATTGCCCTATGACAATAGTTTGTTTGAGTTCAATTTTTCAAGAGAGAACTTTTTTATTCGTTGGGATATTTAATTGTGCAATGGATTTTATTTAACCGGTGTTGATTTCAAACACACAGGTAAGTTTATAATAACCAAAGTTAAATAGTTTATAAAATAGCAAGGTTCAGACAGTGGGCCTATATTCATTAATATTTAAGGCCAACTATACTTTACATCAGAATTAGTAATTGATTAATAGTATACCTGAAAATAGCTACACCTCTTTATACGCCCACATTGAAATGTGATTGTATATTGTCGTCAGCCCTGTCCGTCTGTCCGGCGTTAATATCCGATTGACTTTAAATTTATATACAGTGTTTAAGGCCATGAGATGAAGAATCCTATTGATTTTCAGCGATTTCCGATAATTACTGCCAAAGTTATGGCCCTTGATCACTTTGAAAAATCTTGTGGATGCTCTAGAGGCGAAAGTTATCATCCGATTGACTTCAGATTGATACACAGAGTTTAAGATCTTGATACGAACAAGTAAATTTTTATGACTTGAAGAGCTAAATCCATGATATTAAAAGTTTTGTATACTGAGCGTTAGATAATTACTACCAGAGTTGTGGCCCTTGATCACTTCAAAAAACCTTGTGGACATTCTAGAGGCCAAAGTTAATATCCGATTGACTTTAAATTTATACACACTGTTTAAGGTCACGAGACGAAGAATCCTATTGATTTTTCAGCGATTTCAGATAATTACTGCCAGAGTCATGGCCCTTGATCACTTTGAAAAATCTTGTGGACGCTCTAGATGCCAAAGTTAATATCCGATTAACTTTAAATTTATACACAGTGCTTAAGGTCATGAGACAGAGAAGCCTATAGATTTTCAGCAATTTACGATAATTACTACCAGAGTTATGGCCCTTGATCACTTTGAAAAATCTTGTGGACTTTCTAGAGGCTAAAGTTAATATCTGATTGACTTTAAATGATACACAGTGTTTACGGTCAAGAGACGAAGAAGTCTATTCATTTTCAGTGATTTTTGATAATTACTGCAAGAGTTATGGCCCTTGATCACTTCAAAAAAGCTTGTGGATGCTCTAGAGGCTAAAGTTAATATCTGATTGACTTTTTAATTGATACACAGTGTTTGAGGTCATGAGACGAAGAATCCTGTTGATTTTCAAAGATTTCTGATAATTACTGCCAAAGTTATGGCCCTTGATCACTTTGAAAAATCTTGTGACACTCTAGAGGCTAAAGTTATCATCCGATTGACTTCAGATTGATACACAGAGTTTAAGATCTTGATACGAACAAGTAAATTTTTGTGACTTGAAGAGCTAAATCCATGATATTAAAAGTTTTGTATACTAAGCGTTAGCATGGGGCAGAACTTTATAAAAACCAAACAAATTCTAATGGTTTTCTGATAATTACTTAATGAGTTGTTACTCTTAATCAGATTTTAGTGTATTATAAATGTTTCATTACCAAAAAAAGTAAAAATATGTGACAACACTTGTTGACTGCCCGGACGATTTAGCTGCTGTGGGCGTATGTTTCGATGCCTGGCAACCTATCTATAATTTTGTGAGCTGCGGGGTCTGTTTCTAGTGTGGGGCCCAATTTTGGGAAATTGGTCAGATGTGCCAAAAACCGGCCCTGATTGTTACATACTACTGTACCAGGATAGTAGTGTTCGGCTCGTCACATATAATATTCGAATAGCAATCGCTATATTCAAATTTCTACATTATTTATTCTGCTTACTCTCAAATATTATTAAAGATGACTTTCATTGCCACATTTACATACTTATATTGCTTAACTGCAGCTTGTAAGGGTGCTATCTCTATAGGCCTACCATCTTCAGAGACAGTTACTGGGTAGTTGCTTGTTAATATTGTTACCTACTTTGGTTAGCCAGTTAGTGTGCAGGGAGTTGCCTGTCTTGACTAATATTGCACTCCTAATTAGTTGGTAACTAACTGTACGTTCATGCATGTCTATATAACAAAGCTGTTGTCTTAATGCCAACCTTTTCCATACCGATGAGCCATTGTTACTTACCAAACTGCTGTTTTGTCAAGCGAAATTTCAATCTGCTATCTCAATCATCTTGTCTTGACCGCAATTTCTCTCCAATGGCTTCAGGAGGCTCGGGAGGTAAGAAGTCGGCTATTTGGGAACATTTGTTATAGACTCTTAACACCAAGAAAGCTAAATGTATAGCAAACTCTAAACATGTCGTGTTGTGGGGGGTTGGATGGCTGAATGGTTAGCACATGCACGCTGTATAAGGCCTGTCCTTGAGTCAACTGGCATGCTTTTGTACATGACAAGGAGTAGGGTTGCCTGTCCAACCTTGTGGATTTTTTCTCTGGGTCTTCCGGTTTCCTACCACTGCTAAAGACCCTGTTGTATTGTGGAACAACGACTAATCTTTGGAACCACTTGAAACTGAAACATGGTTATAGATCAGGAGCCCAGGGGGTCCACCTAGCTGAAAAGTGTACCAATTTTCTCCTATATGGTATCAATGTATGTATATCTGGTATCATCAGAATGTAAGTCTGCCGGGTTTCTGGTGGTGGGTGTGGTATTCCACGCCCTAAA